TATATATATATATATATATATATATACTTTTGAATAACTAAAAAATCATAAATTACTGCATCAACACCATAGAATTCTACTATAATTTATCAATTTAGTAACTAAACTATATTTGGGTCTAAAAACAATATGAAATTTCGAGCATATAAAAGACACAACCAGCCTCATTGAAATCTTGATTCAAAAGAACGAAATGGAGAAATAACATTAGAAAGGATGAGAAAACATTTTAGGTTATATAAGGTTAGATTAGGTAAGATAAAGAATAATAATAATAATAAAATTTTCACATGGTTCACTCATGAGCAGCCCTCAGGTAGCCTGAGCATTATGTATTTCGAGAGGTTAACATGATCTACACATTTGCCAATTGATTTACAGCTTGTGCGGCAGGAATATTAGTTAAATACGATTAAAAGGGCAATAAAACAATAAAATTTATGAAAAACAGATGTATACCACAAGTTTAAAGCTATTTAGGATAAACAAATGTAGTTTCATGTTACAATTGGAAGTCATTCTAGAAAGAAAAAGAAAGTACTTTAGATTTATTTCATATTTTTTATGGTAGTTATGAGGTTGGTCAAATTGAGTTAGGGTAGAGTAAATAACATATAAAATATAAAATGTTTCTGAAAAACAACATTTGATATTTTTTTAGGAAATTTTAGAGATTATTCATATGAATTTGAGAATTTTCAGATGAAGAAAAGTATTTTTAATCTAAACATGAAAATCACTTTGCACTCTGAGCCATAAACAATGAGTTTGACTCCATATATTCATAGAAAAATGTTTAGCAAAAATCCTTTATTACAAAATGTGATTTTTTTTTGTGTCCAAACGACTTGTAATATTTACTAATAGTGTGCAAATTTTCATGAAGATATGCATACATTATCAAAAGTTATAGTATGACTAATTTCATGGTGAATTTGATGGTTATGAATTAAATGCAATGCACATAGCCCGTATGGAAAGAGTTAATTAAATATGCAAGATCATATCAATCTCTTGTTACTTATATGATTTAAAAAGTCAAATCCACAAGTACACAAAAAATAATTTTAATCTTCTCACAATAAATCATATTCATACCATTACCTTTTACACAATATAAAATATAAAATGTTCAAATGTGTAGTTTCTTAACTATCTGTCTTTGTTAAAAAATAATGGATAATTATTTTAAAAAATATTTTAAGTAGTAGCAATGACTACAAGAAATAGCAGTATAAAGTCTGTAATCAAAACCAGAACCTCAAAGTTAAAAGTAAAAGGATAAACTCAAATTTGACATGCAAATGTGAACACTAGAAGTGCAAAAAATATAATAACTGCAAAACAGATGAGAGAAATGATAAACAGAAAATTAAAACCAAGGACAAACAAAAACTTAGAAGTTGAAAACTGTAAAAGAAAAGTTTATGAAACTCAAAGCTGAACAGCAAAATATTGAACAATGGTTTATAGCAAAAACTTAACCAAAGATGATTATCTGCAAGATGCACACTGAAGATGTTATAAATGATTAACATCAAGATGTTCAAATGAAAATGATTAACAGCAAGATATTAAACAAAGACAAGGTAGTTATATAAACAAATTACCACTTCTATCAAAATTCCAGTACACTCGTATCTCTGATTTACTTGAAATTTTTGATAAACTAATGGAAGAACAAATCATACAACTTACTCTGGTTTAGGATCTTTATGATTGTCCAAAAAAAACAGACATGACAAGGGTTTTCCTTCATGAGGAATCCACTGGTGCAAACATCTAAAGAATATTAAGAACATAACTATTGCATTTAAGCTGACATGTTACAGTTATGTTTGATAGGAAACTGTACAAATGAGTAACAATATAAAGTACAAGGATAAAGAATTTTGTCTCTACGAAAATAATCTGATGGTAATAAAAAATCATAAGGGAGTTAAATCAGTATGATTGACCAAATGATATTTTCTTAGAATATAATGGCTATGCACAAAAATCAGGAAAAGTGAAACATCCTGTTATAAATGTCACAGGACTAAAGTTATAAGAATGAAAGAAATTGAAAACTGATTAAAGAAGTTTGTGGTTTTATAAAAACTGTCTCAAGCTTATTAGTTATATTCCTACAAAATAAAGTTTAAAACATCTCAACTCTGAAAAAAAAAAATCACTATTCTAAGTTAACTAGCATGTGGTTCACTAGAGATGCAATAAGGTTTTGGAGGTGTTTTATATACAAAAATCAATAAAAGTAAAAATTACAGTCTCACAACTGCAGGATACATAATGACTGAAGTTCCTCTTCTTTGAGTGTGACCATGTAAGTAACCTGTTATGTAAAGGATTTGATATCTATGTTCACACATCATGAAATTTACTGAAATACATACCATTTATAATATTTAATAATGTAAGCCTAGCTAGTACTTAAAGATTACAGAATCACACATATATATATATATAAATGATAATTCTACCTTGGAGAAGTAGATTTGTTTTGCATGTAGACCTGGAAAAATTTTACTTCACCGTCTAAACTGGCTGTAGCTAAAGCTGTACCTTCCGGTGAAAATGCTGCATCTATAATGGGCTACAACACATACACAGAAATATGTTAAACCTTAATTAAAAAGTATCTAGTATACCAAATAAATGTCTATAATTAAATGGAAAAAAATAGTTATGAAGTAGAATATATGGAATACTTAAATCTTAAAAAGTTTCTGATAATTAATATACATGTACATAAAACCTGTAGTTTCAACCTGTAGAATTTTGTGCATACAATTAATGCTGAAATGTTAGATTTGTCTATGTATATATATATACTATTTTTTGTATTTTTTTTTTTTGTCATCACAAAATCAAGCTTTAAC